ATGCAACAAGAATTCAGATGGGGGATATTGCAGACTCAGGGCATGGGCAGTCTTAGGTACATGCAGTAAGAATTCAGATGGGGGAGACTGCAGACACAGGGAATGGGCAATCTTAGGTGTATGTGGCTAGAATTCAGATGGGGGAGACTGCAGACACAGGGCATGGTAGTCTTAGGTGCATGCAGTAAGAATTTAGATGGGCACTGAGCTTTGATTGCTCAGGATGCTGCCGCTCCCTCCAGGGGGCAAGAGTACCCTTGCCAATGTGCAAGCTTACCCTTGCTTGGGAGACAATTGGAATAGGAAGGATGGGAGCTGGGGCAGGGAAGAATGGCTCTGTCGGGGTCCTTGGAACTGGTCAGGATGCACAGGTGGAGGTCAGGATAGCCTCTAGGTCTTTTTTCCCCACCATGAGCCATGCAGGTGATCTGGAGGTAGAACTTTTGAGGGGCTTGTGGGTTATGCCACTGACACAGTGGATACTGTCTGTACAGATGCATGATGCTGGAGGGACCCTGCTCACAGGAATTTACTTTTAGCTGGATTGTGGGGAGATGGGAGGTTTCCCAGGGGACAGACAGATGGGTGGTACACTGCAGGGAGCTGGGGGCGAGGCTACAGAGTTTGGCCAGGGCTCACTGGTTGAATAGAAGTTTCTTAGTTTCAAATTAAAACACAAACAAGACAAGGGCTTCTTATTCACCACTGTTCTCACCCAGAAGCCCACAGTGCCCCATTCATTTCTCTGAACACCAGCAGCATGCTAAATACTCACTAGTGATGGGCAGAGATTTCAATAGCTTCAATTCTTCTCTTTCACTGATGGCAATTCCCATGTTCCCCAGAACATCTTTTAAGTCTTTGGTGTCAACTCGTTCTCCTTTAAGTAAATGGGAGTTATTTGAGGTTGAGAGATAATGTAATGAACAACAGCACTATCTAGCTGCTGGGTGAAGCAAGCACAAAGATGTGAGCCAAAGTCACTAAGTTGGAGTGATTTGAAAGTCAGTATTTGAAAGCAAATTAAGTCGGGTTAGAGGACAACACTTGTCTCCTGTGCTGGGGGTCAGTATAGCATGGAGCAGCACTGTGTGACAGCCGGTGACCCTGGCAGCACTACAGTTTGAGTTCTCTCTGAAATTCACATGGAAACTTCATATTCAGTACAGTGGTAACAAGAGGCAGGAGCTTCAGGAGGAAGTGAGGTCACCAGGCTTTTCCTGCATGGGGTTATAGGCCTCTGGAGAGGCTCAAAGTAGGAGGCCCTCGGTTTTCCCTTTCCACCCCCACAAAGTGAGGACACAGTATCCAAGGCACTAGAGCAGGAAGTGGCCCGAAACGCAGCCAACACTGGGTATGCAGGTGTGGAGGTGTGGGCTTGCTGGACCCCACAGGGATGAAAAGGAATCATCTGTTGATTGTATGTTACTCAGACTGTGGTTGGTTTTGTTTTTAAATAAAAGTAAGAGAACATTAAGACAGACGGCATGGGACTTACATAATTCTACTTGTATGTAAAAATCTCTCACTTCTACTTAATGGCCTGAATTATGGGACTGACTGTTCATACTGATCATATTCCTGATGCAAAAATTTTGTATTCAAGTTCACTATGCTAATATATATTTTGTTTCTTTAAACACTAGTGAAATGAATACTGTACAGACACAAATATTGAAGTTAATATTTCTCTCTGAGAGGTCTATACTTCTCCTAAATTTCCAATACTCAAAATTGCTGTCATTGAGACAAAATTAGATGGAGGGGTAGCCTGACTCTAAAGAAAGGCAATTTCCTATTCAGATCAGGGTCTCAGTCTTACACCAATTACATCTTACATGAATTCTCACCTGTGAAAGATTTTGCTGCATCCATCAACACATCCAAGTCAATCTTTTCATGTTCTGTAGGAAAATTCAAAATTTAGATTCAGAGATGAAGACAGATTTAAAAAAATCATATTAATTTCTTGAAATGTGGCATATAGAATAATAGCAAGTTTTCATGCTTTTGTTTGGAATTTTTATCTTATTTTTGGTTTTTTGAGATAGGGTTTCTCTGTGTAACATCTCTGGCTACCCTGGCTTTGTAGACCTCGACTCACAGAGGTCCACCTACCTCTGCCTCCTGAATGCTGGGATTAAAGGCGCGCACCACCACCGCCCGGCCCAGAATTTTTATCTTCTAAATCAACAAGAACAAGTAGTAGAGAAGATTCAAGCTATACGTGTATATCCTTTCAGTGACTATTATTTTCCTCTTCTTCCTCACAGCATTCTGGGAGTAGAGTTTTGCTGGTGTTGGGAGACCTAGTCCTCTTGTGCTCCGTGGATGTAGAGACATGCCAGGACAGCAGCACTTCTCCAAGCGTGGTCCGCCAGCCTCCCGAGTCACCCGCACTCTCACCTTTTCCACAGTGTCGCCATTTGCAGTGGCGATTGGGGAAAACTCCTGCCGTCTTTGAATTAACGGCATCTAAAGGCATTAGCCGTCATTCTATCCTGGGCTATGTGTTCTTACAGTAAGATGTCAGTTTCACTTAAGAATGTCCTTGAGAATGCAACAAAGGTGTGTGTGTGTGTGTGTGTGTGTGTGTATATGTGTGTGTATGTGTGTGTATGTGTGTGTATGTGTGTGTGTATGTGTGATGTGTGGCATGGTGTGCTCATGTGTGTGTGGAGGCCTGAGTTCAACTTTGGGTGTAATCTACAATATTTTTTGAGACAAGGCCTCTCACTAGGACGTGGGACCAATAATGTCAGGATTGCTGGCCAGCAAGTCCCTTCTTCACCTCCTCAGTGCTTACAAGTGTGTGTGTGATGTCCTGCTTTTTATGAGGGCTCTGGAATTTAACTCGGGTCCTCCAGCTTGTGCAGAAAGTGCTTTATGGACTGAGCTCTCTCCTCAGCCATAAATCTGATTTAAAAATTTTTGAATAACTAAATGTAATATTTATAGGAGTGGTGTAATTAGTCAGTATTGTGCAAATGACCAAAGCATGCTGTTATGAGATCATGCATGGGTGAAGATCAAAGGCTAGGGAGACTAATATGCTTTAGTGTAATTAAGTATACAGAAGGTTCACTGAGAGAGTTTTTGATCCCATATGGTAGCTAAGTTTTAAGAAGCTACTTGTTGAGTTTTGGGATAATAGCAAGGAAAGATCTATTTGAAAAGGCTATCAGTTGCATCTTTTGCCAAATATTTGCATATGTATGAAGTCAGGTTATTTATATATATTTTTACCGAAACTAAATTAGTCCAACGAGGGCTGAGACTGCAAATCAGTGGTTGGGTGCATGTCTACCATGCATGCCTACCATGCATGCCGTGTGTAAGGCCCTACATTCAATCCCCAGTACTACTTCAAAACCAGAATAAAATGAAATAATCAAAATATTCCAGCAGAGTGCATGAGAAAGTATATATATGATTCTAGCTAGACATTAAAATGATTAATAATTTAAGACAATTATTCTCACCTCTTGGCTTTGTTTTAGGGAAATATTTTCATAAAATGTATTTTATCAAGTAATAAACATGGCTATTTTCACAGAATGTAACGAGTCGGGCTTTGTGGCACACACTTGTAATCCCAGCACTTAGGATTGAGGCAGGAGAATCAGGGGTTTGGAGCCAGCCTGGGGCTTCATAGTAATTTCTTCACCAGGCTATGCAATGAGACCCTGTCTCCAAAAATAACAGCAATAAGAGTTTAAAGAACTAATATATAAACATTATTAAAATGTGTTTTAGTTTCTAACACAATAAATATTGATAACTAATAATTGTCAAAACAATTAAGAGTCAAAACAATTAAGGGGCCCTGACAAGGCACTGATATCTTTGCTGGTTGGCTTCATAGTTTTCAGATCCATTTCTTAAAGATTTAATAGCATTAATAATCAGGAAATGCATTTTCAATTTTTTTTAAAATAGGCTCTCATTATGTAGTCCTGGCTAGCCTGAACCTCATTATGTAGACCAGGTTGGCATAAAACACACAGAGGTCCGCCTGCTTCTGTCTCCTGAGTGCTGTGCCACTCTGGCCCACACACTTTAATTGTTGAACAGTATTTTTCTCTTTATTCTGTGTCACTGTCCCCCTCCCTCTCAAGTCTCCACACTCTAAGTTTCTACATTGACCAGCCGTCTGCGGTGGTCAGCAGCGTGGTTCTGTCGGGAAGCCAGCCGAGATTCTCTCTGCTCTGTTCTTCTCTGCTGCCTGCAGGTGAGACAGGCCATTGTCTGGGGAGGGAGGTGGGGTAAGGCTCACCGGTTACCGGCAGGCGGGACTGCAGGTCCTTCAGCTCTTTTGCTTCCAGTTTGAAACCAGTGTTTTGAAGAACAGTCTTCATATCATGGACGTTAACTTTCCCTCCTTAATGAAAACAAGAAACAGTAAAGCTGTTATAAGATGAAAGGCCGGGACTGTCCACTCCTCCCCAGAAGTGAAAGCACACAGCAGCAGTCAGGATTGTACTTCCTTAGTCAGACTTCTGAGAGCTACCCCAGGGAGAAAAAATACACTTTGGCAATTCTGGTGAGCTAGGCGAAAAGAATAATCAAGTTATTCTGGATAAAAAGTAAGATTTGAACTTACTACAGTAACAGAAAATGACCTCCCAAATATACTTTTATATAAAAGGAAAACTGTAGCTAATGAGAAAGAATTATTAAAAACTACTGGCATGCTGGGTGGTGGTGGCACATGCCTTTAATCCCAGCACTCGGGAGGCAGAGCCAGTAAGTTCAAGGCCAGCCTGGGCTACAGAGTGAGTTCCAGGACAGGCTCCAAAACTACACAGAGAAACCCTGTCTCGAAAAACAAACAAACCAAAAAACCCAAAAAACAAAAACAAAAACAAAACCCAAAACAACACCCTCCCCCAAAACCCCCAAACTACTGTCAGGGTTTTTATTGACTCAGTCTGAAATATGAGTTACTTATAAAGTGTCAACATGTATAATATATAATATGTGATATATAATATATATTATACATATATAATATAATATAATCTATTGTATTTTAGATTAGTTAAAAATTAAATGTTAAAAAACCACAGGAAAATAAGGAGAGGCCAGAAAAGAAGTGGTTGATAAAATTAAGTACCCAAAAATGAAAAATACCCATATATCAAAGTTGATCATAGTCCCCTAGACCTAGAGGACTAGGGGTAGGTATAGTCACTGCTAATGGGTAGAGCTTGATTGTGGTGAAATTGTACAACTTAGTAGTGTACTAAAAACCCTTGAGTTGTATACTTTAAGTGAATGAATATGATAGCATGTGAATTGTTTTTCCATTTTATTTCAATACTGCGTATGAAAATAAAATGCAAATAACCAACTGGTAAAATATTTATTATGTATATGACAATGTGTTTATATAGAATTAATATATAATATTAACTATAAACACACTTAATTATTTTAATTATTAGAAATAAATGTTCATACTCTAGTAGGATAATGGACAAATGGCCCTGATAAGAAATTCAAAGTTTGGAAGCAATAATGTTATATGTCTTAGTTAAGGTTTCTATTGCTGTGATGAAACACCATAACCAAAAACAAGTTGGGGAGGAAAGGTTTTTTTTTTACACTTCTGTATCACTGTTCATCATCAAAAGAATTCAGGCCGGAAGGGTCCTGGAGGCAGGAGTTGATGCAGAGGTCATGGAGGGGCGCTGCTTACTGGCTTGCTTCCCATGGCTTGCTCAGCCTGCTTTCTTAGAGAACCCAGGACCAGCAGCCCAGGGATGGCCCCACCCACAATGGGCTGGGCCCTCTCTCATCAATCACTAATTAAGAAAATGCCCTACAGGCCTGCCTACAGTGATCCTATGGAAGCATTTTCTTAATTGAGTTCCCTCCTCTCAGGTGACTTCAGGTAATATAATAACCTTTCACTTTCGTGACAATAAAAAATAAAAACAGCCGGGCGGTGGTGGTGCACGCCTTTAATCCCAGCACTCGGGAGGCAGAGGCAGGAGGATCTCTGTGAGTTCGAGGCCAGCCTGGGCTACCAAGTGAGTCCCAGGAAAGGTGCAAAGCTACACAGAGAAACCCTGTCTCGAAAAACCAAAAAATAAATAAATAAATAAATAAATAAATAAATAAATAAATAAAAATAAATAAATAAAAACATTTTTTATTTTTAATAATGAATGAAAACATTCATTTTTATGGAATCAAATTATCAAGAATCTAAAATTCTGAAAATGATATTTGAGTATTAAATGTAAAATGAATAAAACACCAAGTAAGAGTTTAATTAAAAATAGACATGTACACAGGGAAAACAAGAGGTAAGGTAGTAAAAAATGTGTAAGTCCATTTTTCTATACATTATTTTATATTCCAGATGATTCTTAAATACCTAGTAGATAGCAAATAATTATTGAATAAAACTCATAGTTTTGTTATTTTATACCTTAAAGAGAATCTCAAATTTTATTGTTCTTATTCTCTTTTTCACTCACCTTTGAAGCACTTCACACCAGATAGTAATTCTTTCTTAAACACTGTTTTGTCAGCTGTAGGATAGAACACAATCATATTTTGAAGGATGATGATAAAGGTCTACGTTCATACATACAGAAAGGAAAAACTTAGAAGCATCACAATTCATTCTCAATGAGATGAGAGGTACTCAGGAAAAGCCCATCAAGAACACAGTCAGAGGTGGTGTGCTTGTTTAGGATGCTCAGGTTCTGGTTAGACCCCAGCTCTGTGAGAAACCTCTGCCCAGGGGACCTGATCCAGGGAGGGGGAGCTGAGTACAAAAGCAATTAGCGGTACCCAAGTGCACTGAAGGACAAAACTTGTGTATTTTTCTGCTTATATTTGGCTTCATCCTTTTTCTTCAGTTTTTATACCATTCTGTCCTTCCATTTCCTCTAGATTCATAAGACTTTCATTTCTCCTAAAGGAATACCAACACGTCTTAAGACAGGACGTCTGCCTGAAGGGACCTTTTCCTGATCCTAAGGTAAAATGAGTACAGTTTCAGAAGCGCCAGCTGGAAGCCTGGCATAGGCGCCTGCCTGAAATCTCAACACCTGGAAGGCAATGCCAGAGTTTAGGGTTCTAGGCCAGTTCTGGAGACATAGTGAGAGACTGTTAAAAAAAAAAAAAGCTGTGTTTTCTTTCCTATGTAGACTCTATTTTAAAATATAAGTACACACATATATATTTACATATCATACACACATATGACGTGAAAGCAGAAGTGGAATTACTTGGGAGAAAGAAGGGGGTCAGTGAAGTCCAGTCGCAGAGAGGGAAGACGGATTCTATGAGCAAGGGGGGTCAAGATCATGTTTGGAAAACCCACAGAGACAACTGAACCAAGCTAGTGGGAACTCATGAACACTAGACCAACAGCTGCGGAGCCTGCATGGGACTGAATTAGGTCCTCTGCATATGGGAGACAGTTATATAACTTGGTCTGTTTGGGGGGGGGGCTGGCAGTAGGATCAGGATCCATCTCTGGTGCATGAGAGGGCTTTTTGGAGCCCACTACCTATGGTGGAACACCTTGCACAGCCTTGATGCAGGGGTAGGGGATTGGACCTACCTCAGCTGAATGTACCAGGCTCTCCTGACTCCCCATGGGAGGCCTTACCTTTTCTGAGGAGGGGATGGGGGACAGGTTGAGGGGGAAGGCTGGGGGGGTTGAGTGGGAGGAGGCATGTGAGGGGGATCTGTGGTTGGTATGTAAAATAAATAAAAAATATCTTAATAAAAAAAGAAGGGGGTCAGTGAGAAGGGAGAAAAGGGGGATGAGGGAAGGGTAGTGAGAAGGTAAATATGAGCGAGGTAGAATGATATATCTGTATGAAAATGCCATAATGAAATGCATCATATTATATGCCAATGAAAATAAGTAATAAAAAGTTACTGAAAAAAAAATAAGAGAAATGCTAGGTAGGGTTGGGTCTTTTTTTGCCAGGAACTCACATGTAGAGCAGAATGGCTTTGAACTTGCAGTGATTATCCTACCTGGAACTCTGAGGGGCTGGGCTTGGGCTAGAGAGTTGGTTTAGTAGGTAAATGAACTTGCTACCAAAAATGAAGACCTGAGTTCAGTCCCAAAGACAAACACCATGGAGAGAGAACCCATTCCACTAATTCTCCTCTGACTTTCACATGTACACATGTGCATGGTATGTGTTTGTGCACGTGTATACACACATACAAATAAATGTAAAACAAACAAAGAAGTTCAGGAATTGCAGGCATGTGTTATCATGCCTAGTATAGAATTGGGTCTTTTTACAAAAAAATAACATAGAATATTTCAAATATTAGAATTAATACAAAACCTTCAAAATATTTTAAAGTATTCCAACTTTAAAAACAACCTGACTTTGACAGCAGGAATCTGGGGCAATGGAAACAGTCCCCATTTCTTCTGTGGTTCAGACAGAGTCATATATGTGCAGACATTAGTCAATGCTTGTCGAATGAATACATTTTTTTAGGGATCAGGGAAAACAACACACAAAGCTTACCACAGACAGGTAGAGTTTTGAGCAGTTTTTTGTTTTCCTTATTGGTCATTTCTATACCCATGTTTTCCAGAATTTCTTTTATGTCCTCTGCATGAATCTTTTCTCCTTTAAAAAAGAAAACCATCGTAGGTGAGACAATAGAATTATGTATTTTCTAACATTATATGAATGAAATGTGTACATGTAACACACATGTGAGTCTCATCCCTGTTGACATCCAAGGAAAGAACAAGGGACCCAGGGAGGATGTGTTAGCTCTTCAGTGTCAAGAAGGGGAGGAAGAGCTGGTTGATGGTGGCACATTTGGAGCTTGGTGAGTTTGAGGCCAGCCTGGTCTACAGAGTGAGTCCCACGACAGGCTCCAAAGCTACACAGAGAAACCCTGTCTCAAAAACTAAAACAAAAGAAAAAAGATGGAGAGGAAGTTTTTTTTTTCCCTCCTATCAGCTGGGTGGAGTAGCACATGCTAGAAATCCCAGCATGTGGGAGTCTGAGGCAGGAGGATTGGAAGTTTGGTCTGTTTGGGCTATATATAAAGATCCTGTCTCAAAACAAAGACAAACAAACAAACAATAATTAAAAAAACAAGGAATTTTAACAAGTAAAAGGGAATCTCTTGAAGTCGACACTGTCTGTCATATAACAGTACAACAGGGATCATAGAACTTTTCAGTAATTTAGTTGTTTGTGATAGCTAATATAGGACACTCGGCCATTAAAATAGCAAATCTATTCTTTTTTTAAAAAAAGATTTTATTTTTTAGTTATGTGTGTGGTTTGTGCACCTTGTGAGTCCAAGACTGAGGAGGCCTGCAGAGGCCATCTGATGCCCTAGAGCTGGAGTTACTGGTGGTTGAGAGCGGCCTGACTGGGGGCTGGGGACCAAGCTTGGGTCCTCTGCAAGGGCACAGGCAGGGTGAGCTGCTGCGCCAGCTCTCAGCTGTGATAATTCTATTCTTTTTGTTGGTTTCATACTCTTCCTCTAGCACTTCTACCGCTTCTCTCTTCCTCTTTTTGTTTCTGTTACTCATGTTTGTAAAATGACAACCTAGCAGAACTTATAGTATACAGTTACTTTAAGTTTGAGAGGGCAAGAATCATAGCCCTCCCCAACACAAATTTAAAATTTTTATGTTGGCATAAAAGTAGTGGGCATCATTATGGCATTCCCCTCCTTCCTTCCCTTTCTCCTCCTCCTTTCCCCCTTCCCTGATCTTTCTTTCTTTCGACAGGGTCCTATGCAGCCCAAGCTGACCTTAAATTTGCTATGTAGCGGAGGATGACTTTGAACTCTGGATCTTCCTGTCCCTAGAGCCAAGTATGGGGTTACAGACCTGTGTCTTCTTCAGTTCCTCTAAAGCCTCATTGTGGAGGTTTTCATCTCCGTGTTTAGGTTTATCCCTTAGCATTAATCTATGTTTAAAAGCTGTCATGAGTGAGTGCCCCTCCCCCATCCTGATTTCTTTCTTGGCAAGTTTGTTATGGATATATGGAAAGGCTACTTACTTTGAATGCTGATTTTGTAATCTACTACCTCACTAAAAATGTCTGATCAGCTTTAAGGGGTTCTGGAAGAGACTTTAATGTCCTTTAAGTATAGGATCACGCTATCTGGAAGCAAGGATACTTTGAATTCTTGCTTTCTTATTTATATCCATTTTTTCTTATCTTAATTATCAGACTTCAAGTACTATATTGATTAAGAAATGTGAGAGGGAACACCTTGTGTTGCTTCTGATTTTAGAGGAAATGCTTTCATTTTTTTCCCGTTTGGTATAATGTTGAGTTTAAGTTTGTTATATGTGGTCTTCATTTTCTGAAGCATATACCTTCTATTTCTACTTTATTCAGGGCTTTATCCTGAAGGATAAAAAGCTTTTTGTCAAAGGTTTTTATCTGTAGTTATTGAGTTGATCATGTGATTTCTGTTCTTCAGTATCTGTGGTGTATTACACCTACTGATTTGCATACGCAGAACAAGTCTCGTATCCCTGAGCTTAGACCAGTTTGCTTATGATCTATGATCTTAATGTGTTCTTGAATTTGATTTGGAGATATTTTACTGAGATTTTTGCATTTATGCTCAATAGGGAAACTGGCCTATAGTTTTTTTGCTGTGTCCTTACCCTGCTTTGGAATCTACTGGCTTTGTAGAGTGAGTCTATATGGTGAGCGTCTTCCTTGCATCCTTTGTAGAACAGTTTGAGGGGTATTGGTGTTAGCTCTTCCTTAAGTGGTAGCTAAAACTCAGCAGAGAAGCCATCTGGTTTAGAACTTTACTTGTGGGGAGGTTTTTTGTTTTGTTATTTTCTTTTTCCCTGAGGCAGGGTTTTTCTGAGTAACAGCCCTGGTTGTCCTGGAACTTGATTTGTATGAGTTATAGGCTGGCCTATAACTCACAGAGATCCACTTGCCTCTGCCTCCCGAGCGCTGGGATTAAAGGCGTGCACCACCACTGCCTGTCTGTGAGGAGAATTTTTATTGCTTCTTCAATCTTGTTTTTATTTTTGAGTATGTGTGTGTGGTGTATGTACATGATTGTTTAGTTGTGTGTGTGTGTGTGTGTGTGTGTGTGTGTGTGTGTGTGTGTGTAGGCCAGAGGTTGACTTCAGGTATTGTTTTTGATTTCCTCTATTGTTTTTGACCTTTATTTTTGAGGCAGTTATTTTATTGAACCTGGGATGCACTGATTGGCTAGACTGATGGGCCAATGAGCTCCAGGGATTTGCCTGTTCTCACTCCTGGGTCACAGGCATACACGGACACATCTGTCTGTTTGTGTGTTTTGTTTTTTAAAATGGGTGCTGGGGCTCTGCACTCAGGCACTCCTGCGCATGCCACAGGCGCTCTACTGACTGAGGCGCTCCTCCAACCTCTCAGTCTTATTTTTTGTTAGGCATCTGTTTAAGTGCTTTTTATTCTTTTGATTTGATTTTGGTATGTCGTCTCTAAGTATGTATCATTAAAAAAAACAACAGGTTTTCTAATTTGTTTTGGAGTGTAAGTTTTCAAAGCATTCCCTAACGATACTCTGGGTTTTACTGGCACTGTTGTAACACACATTTCCCCTCTAATTTTACTAGTTTGGGTCTTTCCTTTCTTTTGGTCAGTTTGGCAAAGAGTTTGCCTTTTCAAAGAACTAACTTTTTGTTCAATAGATTCTGTGTGGTGATCAGAAGGCAAAGCTAGCCACTAGTTAGCCATAGAGGCCATGCAGTGATGACACACACCTTTAATCCCAGCACTTGGGATCTCACGTCTTTGCTCCCAGTACTTGGGAGTCACACGCCTTTAATCCCAGCACTAGGGAGGTTGAGACAGGAAGTGATATGGCTGGGCAGAAAAAGGAATATAAGGTGGGAGGAGACAGGAGCTTAGCCCTTTCAGGCTGAGGATTCAGTAGAGAAAAGAAATCTCTCTAGTGGCTGGCTGCTCTACTTCTCTGATCTCCGGGTTTTTATTATTAAGATCAATTAGGATTCGTGCTACAATTCTGTGTTATACTTTTAGTCTTCACTTCATTAATTTCTACCCCAATCTTTATTGATACCCACTTCTCTTGGTTTGTATTTGTTCTAGCTTTTCTAGGATCCTGAGTTATATTACTGGGTTGTTAAATTGAGATCTCTGATTTTTTCAATACAAACACTCGTGGCTATAAATGTTCTTCTGAGAACTGCCTTGGCTGTATTCCAAAGGTCCTGGTAAGCTATGCTTTCATTTTTATCTGATTCTAGGAATTTAAAATTTTCTTTCTTGGTTTCTTCAGTGACCCACTGGTCATTCAAAAATACATTGTCAGTTGCAAGTATTTATGTGTTTTTTTTGTCTTGCTATTAGTTTCTAGTTTTATTCTACTGTGATCTAATGAGTCATAAGACATTTTCAGTTCTTCTGTATTTGTTAAGACTTGCTCTGTGAAGTTCTCTATTTTGGAGAGGACAGTATGGGGTGATGAGAAGGGAATGAGTTTTCTGTACCTGTTGTATGGAATCCCCTGGAGATAGCTGTTAAATCTGTTTAATCTATGGTATAGTTTAAGCTGGAAATTTCTTTGATTTTTATGTTATGTTAAAACATATTTGAATATAAAATGTAAAGACCACACAATATAATACTCATTTTAACAGCTCACTCACCTGTAATCTTTTTAATTTCGTTCATCAATACACGGAAGTCAGCCTTCCCATTACCTTTAAGACAAAAAAAAAAAAAGCATAAAATAGACTTATAGGAAAATTATATGAAATCATTAAATTGTAAATTATAAAACAGAAACCTATATTCACTCACTTGAAAAAATTTTATGAAGTTTATATCTTTCATGTCTGATCCTCATCAGTTTAATTAATATAGCTACTTTGATCTCCACTATGAGCATTTGTATAGCACAATGCAAGATCAAGCACTCTCCTCTAATTTAGCCTCAATCTGTTGCTAGTCTTTTCTGCTAAATGAGAGCATCTGTCTACTCCTGGCTGCTCCTGGAACTTCAATGTGATAACTGTCATATTGATGTGTTTAGTACTGCTCACTTCTAACGACAGAACCTTGTTTTGCAATGACCATTCTCAAACACTGTACAGTTACTTCCTTTACCCAGTGTTTCTCAAATTAAAGTAGAAAGTCACTGGATACATTTAAAACAGCTTCTAAAATTGCAAGTTTGAAAGCACTGGATGGGAGGGGTGGCCACTGAGACAGCCAAGACTTTAGCTGCCATGGACAGTCTCTTTGACTGTGACTTGGTGAAGAGGACACAATTTGTTTGTACTGTTGTGTTTTCTGTAATACTCCAACACTGTATGTAACACTGATGGTAAAGTACAAGTGATCAGTCTCTATTCTTACTATTGTCTGATAATCATTAGTGTAGTGGCTTGCACAAGACCAATGCTACACAAGTGTTTATTAAACAATGGTTATATCAAAATGCAAACACATTGCAGCTAACAGATTTACCTTAAAACCAATATATATTCACCTTAGATGTAAAATTTTTCAAAAATACTTTTTCAGTTATGGCAATCTTTCATTAGCATCTCGTTAATGTGATTGGTGTTGTCATTTTTAAATGGGATAGGGAAGAACCTTTTTTGATACAGGTATGTCTGTAAAGTACAGATGTCATTACACCCTTAACTCTGTGTCCCACTGAGGCCCACTGGGCCCAGAAGTATCTATCTTTTCTTAGATGATTACATAGATATATAAGGTATTCCAAAAATTATGTGACTATCACTGCACTGTAAATCACTGTGATGGTTGTGTTCCTAAATACCAAGAAAACAGGGCAATGGCCAGGGTAGATTAAAATAGCCATCAAAGGGGTTTAAAAAACAAAAGTAGTTTTTGGAAGAACTGCTTATCTCTTATGAAGGCAAAAGGCTGGTTGCCTAAAACATTAGAAACACTACAGTCAACTGAATGAAGGAATGACATTTTCTATTGATTTAGAAAAATACTTATCAATGGACTTGAATGAATCTTATGGTGTTTAATACTTCCTTAGGGTCTGGCATCCTCCCAGATTTCCTAAAATTTTCTCAGGTCAATAGAGAAAATCACCAAATGTCTGCCACAGCTAATTCATTCTATCTTCTTCTTTTAGTCATTATTTAGGATTATCATGTTTGATGTGTGGATGGGTGGGGTGCATGTTTGGCACAGCATGTGGGGGGGGCGGTGAGGTGACAACTCTGTGGAGTCAGTTGCCTCCTTCTTTCCACCTTTTTTTTTTTTT